AAGGAATTGGCTTCTTGCCCTGTTGAACTCCCTCTCCATTTCCAGAACCTCTTTCCAAGGAATCTGATCCAGGCTAATAACCATAGGATAAACACAAACCCATACAGCCCCATTGCCTGTCTCTCATGGTGACATTATTAGGAATTTGCAGTAGGTGAGCCTGGTAGAACAAAGTTTCTAGCAGTGGAGGCCATAATCAACACCAACACCACCTTACAAATTCTTTTCAATGCTCTTGACATCAGGATGATAGCAGATACAAAATTTACCAGGGAATCTGAATCTGCATTTAAAAAAAAAAAAAAGAAAAAGAAAAAAAAAAAAAGACAGAAATAAATTGTTTAAATTCATAGTAAAAGTATTGAAATGATGTCAAGGTTGGGAGAAAAAAGAGTTCTGAGATGGAATTTTGTTAGAGAATTTAGTTTTCAGAACAATAATATAGTAACTATCCACAAATAAAAACAAAAAAGCTTTATATATAGTAAAGTAACAGTAGTGATAGAGAAAACTAACTCCTCTTATTAACAAGAATAGAATAAAAAATAATAGATGTGTGGAAAGGGAGGAATATAGGGCAAATAACAAGGAAATATTCTTTTGAATATGAAATAATTTTTGGTTTTACTTTTTATGTAAGAATTGCCTCCCACCATTCCAAAACTTTTCTAGTTTCTTAAACTGACATCATATCCCTGAAGCCTTCAAGTCTTTATCCCCACTGACGGTATCGTCACTCGATTTCAGCCTTAGGCAGCTGCCTGCCACATTCTGCATGACTCTGCAGCCCTTAGGATAGAGGCAAAGGTTCCCAAGTTACTCCTGATTTAAGATGATTCCAGTAATGAGTGTGATCCAGAGACAAGTGTTTTACACTTTCTAAAAATTAGTATCTTTTTACGGCCTTTGGAACTGATTTGTAAGTTGTGAGCAGTTTATGTTCGCTAACCACTTCTGTAAAACTTTATGGTCTTTTTTTTCTTTTTTTTCCAGGCAGTTTTTGAAGTAAAATGTACTGTATGGAGAGGCAGTATCAGATCTTTCCAGGTATCTGCTTGAGAACATACTTAGACTAAATTCTGGTGCAGCATAGTGGTATGAATTAGCTGAAAGAACAGAGAACCTTTCCAGTAGTCTGCTACTCAGACRGAAGTAACAGGAACACCGGGATTTAACTTCTCCTTTACATTGCTCAGGGCAAAGAAGTCCGTGCTCCACGGGAGCCGGCTGCACAGTTGCCTCCTGGAGGTGCCAGTGTCACTTACAGTACTGGCAAGTGGGAGGAGGTCATTGCTGGGGAATAGAGTTTGGGGAGGGACGCAAAAGAAATAAAAGGGAGGTGGCAGGGGGAGGAGGAATGAAGGATCTTTCTTCACCATTCTTTTTTTACAGCTTTTGTGTGTCTGGACTGATTTGTTGTGGGAGAGCTGCTGGAGACAGTATATTTGGCACAGGCCAGGGTAGCTCAAAGCCAAAAGAATGGTCCTATTGCCAGTTAAGCCATGGATGTTCCTTTCTTTTTTTTTTTTTTTTTCCTCTTTCCCCCTCCCTCCTTTTTCTTTGAAGGAAGGCAAAGAAAAAGGGGAAGAAAGGGACTCGCAATGAAAACCAGAGCAGTGGGTTAATGAAGGCCCCGCAGGCTTCAGTAGACTGGAAAGATACCCGAGACACTTCCTCTAGCATCTGGCAGGCAATCCTGCTGCTGCTGCTCTTAGTGCATAACTTTGGAGTGAATAAGCAAACAAGGAAAACTTTTCAGGAGACACCAATTATGAAACACCAGCTATTAATCTGTCAGCTCACTCCCTTCCCGTTTCTCCCACCACTGTATTCCTTTCCTCAAGTCTTCTTCAGTTCTCGTGTGTACCTGTGAAAATGCGCACTGCCTTGCCAGGTTTTCAGAATTCACCTTTTTGTTGACTTGCTACTTAGGGTAAATAGGGCCAAGGCTACTACATTTATATTTCTGTAGTAACCTCTTAAGCTTCTTTGATTCGCAGTCATAGAGAAATGCAGTTTAGTCATAAGGTGACCCATCTTGCTTCAAAGATTGCCTTCAATCCTAGCTGGAATCGAGAATGCAGAAGAGAAATATTAGATGATCTGAGCTTATTCTCAGGCAGATTAAGTGCACCAGAAATACCTGGGTGCAGTTCTCGTAGGAATCTGTTACATTTGAGGGTCAAGTGTTGTGTCGAGGTCACATCTTCAAGCTGGGTACATCATCCCAGCACAACTGAAGCTCTTGAGACAATAGGGAAGTTGGATCACAGCAAAAATCTTGGATGAATTAAGGATAAGTAAACCCTGGCTTTGCACATAATTTTGAGGCACTTTATTAAAAATCTATTAGTTTACAGTTATATCCATTAACGCCAGCAACATTTTTGCACGAAGTTTTTGGTCCCAACTGACGATCCTTTAACKGACCAGATGGCAGGAAGAAAGCAACTGTACGCTATGTAGAGCTGTTGTTTTTATCTGACGCTTCTTTCACCAGCAAAAATACATAGTCTGTTACATTTATTGTGCAGATTCTTAAAATAATAAAACTCCAACAGGAACAACGTGTTTTTGATAGGCCTYCTGTTTGAGATTTTTACAAATGTAGGTGAAAATAAGTACCAGAACCACATGAAGCATGCTCAGATTCTGCCTGCCTGCTCCTATCCACTAATCAGGTACATATCTAAGTGACCCAATTGCAGGAAAAAACTTTTCCCAGGCTTAAGCCAGTTTTAAGAATATAAGGAGGTAGTGTAGAGTTTGAAAGCTCRGAAGATTGCGCACTACTGCTATCAGGAGGTTTTGTGGTTAAGTTTGATTAGGCACCTAAATGTTGAGCCATTCATCTAAAAACTGAGCTGGGCATTCCCTTCCGAGAGTTCTGGTATTTTTTTGCATCTGATGAAGCTGGAAATATCACAAGGACAGCCTTTCTTCCACAGTATTTTGGCACTTCTGCTCTTTGTCCCAGCTGGGAGCAGGAAGTTCAGAGGTAAAAAAAAAAAAAGTGAAAAACAACAATTGAAAAAAAAAAAAGTTAATGGAACTCCTTGTAGCTCAGGAACAAAATAAAGCAGGTCTTAAGTTGCCTAATTTTTTGTGCTCAGATGCCTAGTTTATCCTTCTGTAACAGGACAACACTGCTTTAAAGAGTAATTGCGCAACATGCACCAGTAAGAGAAACCTCAAACAGCCATAAGAAGCCATGTGAACATAAAACAAGTAAATTTTGCCTTTTTCACAGAATTATAATCATGCATTGTATGAATGTGTTAATGCTTGTGCTGCAATACTGTCTGTTTTCTATTTGTTTTCTTTGTTCTTAACCCCTTTGTTCCAAGAGTCAGGATATCCTGATGTTAAAAACTCTACAAAATAACAGTACAACAACAATGGCTTAATACTTAGGAAGCACTTCACTATTTTCAAGGCAGAGCCATCTGAAAGTGCAGCGTGCTAACAACACGCCACAGCCTCCAGACAAAATAAAACTAGTTTTTGAAGAGCGTTACAGTCACCAGTTTGAGGTGGGAACATGGCAGAGGATGCTGCAACAGCTGAAGTATCACAATGCCCCTGCTAATGTTGGCATKAAGAGGAAAAGTTTGTGCATTCTGCTTTTTATCCGTAAGGGTGTTAACATTCAGTCCATTCCTTTGGCTCCTCTTCCTCAGTGAAGGAAGGTCCTGTTTGTTTGCCAGTTTATTTTTTCATCTGGAGAAAAGGCAGGATATTGAATGTACCCGAATGTAACCTGGAGAAAACAGGTCTATTAACTTGGCCTACGAGGAAATACTATAAAGCCTACCAAAATCCTACTAATTAGGGCTTCTGCAATTTCACTGAGTGCTGCGTAGGGCACCTGCAAGCCCTTGGCTGTAATGGCTGAATGATAACCCAGTAGCAACAGCAGTATGGACAAAAGGAGATATATTACCTAAAAGAAAACTGTAAAAGCCAAAGAACGCAAGGGACAGGCACAGAAGCGACAGGGAGTGGGTGCTCCGGYAGCCTCTGGCAGGAGGTGGCGAGCGCTGCGGGGCAGCGCGCGGGGCCTGCTTGTCACCGCTCGCGCTCGCCACCTCATTTCTGGAAGCGACAGAGCGCTCACCCGGGCTGCTCCGGCTTGTTTGCAAAGGTTCGTGATGAATAATTGTCCTCTCCCTGCAGTCTGTGGGTGCTCGCCGCCACCAAGCCCTGTCCTGATGTGAACCCGCTCAGGTGGAGTCCTGCAGCCAAATCAAGGCGGTCCYGGGGGGAGACCCCCCGCAGCCTCCCCAGGGCTGCAGCCGCAGCAGCCCCGGCCTCCCTGGGACGCGGCATCCCCGCCGCCCGTCCCCGCGCCGGCCGGGCTGCCTTCCCCTCGGCTTGCCAGCTTCCCTGCCGAGGAGCAGCGGGGCCCGGCAGCGCCGCACGAGGCCGGCCGCTCGGCCCTGCGCYCCGCTCCGCTCGCCATGTGAATCCCCTCGCTCTGCCCGAGGGCACCCGAGGTGACCGCGGGGGCTTCACGCAGGGGCCCATCCGCGGCCC